GTGTAGCCATCCTCCAGTGGCCCTTCTCCAGAGCACCACTGCTGGGAGCAGGGTTGGAGGTCATGCCGTTTGGGTTTCCTTTCCTAGGAACTTAGGTTTTTGTTTTTTGAGACAGAGTCTTGCCATGTAGCCCCGGCTGGACTCGAACTTACAGTCCTCCTGCCTTCATCTCCTGAATGCTGGATTTACAGTTATGCATTATTTGGAATTCAGTTTTGAAGGAAGAAACCTCAAGTCTGGAGATAGTGAGAGATGGATCACATTTATGGCAGAACTCTGGGAGACAGTGTTCACAATTTTCAGCTGTTGAGGCCACTGAATTTCCCTGGTTCTTACTCATGGTCTGTTTACAGTGATGTGCTTGTAAAGTTTTAAAAACTAGCTCTAAAAATAAAGTGAAGGGAAGAGAAGGGAAAAGAAGGGAAGGAAAAGAAAGGGAAGGGAAGGGGAGGGAAGAGAAGGTGAGAAAAGGAGGCTCTGAATTCTAGTGTTTGCTGACTTCCTTGATGTAAACACTCTCAGCATGCCTATTTCAAGCTCCCACCATGATGTCACTGAGCACACAGTTGGGAAATACTATGTATAATTGGATCCCACAAGGCTGTATGAACTGTTTCAGAACGCTGCTGCCTGCTTCTCCACATCCTCTGCCTTTGTGGAATTTTACAGTAGGCCCCTAGTGATCTCCTTTCAGGTTTAGACAAATAAAAGGTATTTCTATTCCTTGCAACCAAAATACCTTTAACCGAACCTCTAACCACCTTCTACTCTGGACACTTGCAGCCAATTCATTAATAGTGTGTTCTAACTTTGGCTGACTTTTCACAGCCACATTCTTTAAATATAAATATTTATATCCATTTTCATTTATATGCAGAATTAATGTCTATTTCTACAAACATGTAGTCATCATTAACTCCAGAAAAGAATATTTTTAATCACTGCAGTTGCTTCAGATAGCACGATCATTTTTGGAAATTCCTGCCCCCTGGCGTTCAGTACAAGGAACTGCTTTTTACTTTTGTTTTAACTCTGAATTTTAATGAAGGACATGGAGGTGAGCTAGAAGTTCCTGTTGTCTATTGAGACTATTTCCACCACACAGACAGGCAGGTATTGTGCACATTGTATCCCCAAAATTATTATTATTCGGGGGGGGGGGCATTGAGACAGAGCCTTGCTGTGTAGTCCAGGCTGGCCTTGAACTCACAGCGATCCTCCTGTCTCAGCTTCCCAAGTGCTGGGATTATGGGTGTGCACCAACATGCCTGGCTAGATATTACTTTCTTAATGAAGTCCAAGAGAATGTAACATCAGGTTTTCTCATCCTCAGTTCTTATACTGTTTTGAGCCATGAACAGCCAGAGGCCAGCCCAGATAATATTCATAAGTATGCACAGACCCCAGCAGCCAGAAGCCCACTCAGATACCAGCAACTTGGGTGCACAGCCCTCAGCCAAAGAACCTCCCAGACAACAGCTATGCAGGTGGGCAGGCTCTAGCCAGAGGCATGCCCAGATACCATCCTAAGTGTATGCAGGCCCCAGCCAGAACCCTGCCTGGAAAACAGTGCAACACAGGGATCCAGAAGGCCACCATTCTGAACTCAGGAATTGGTGCAGTGTTGAGCAGCAGAGAGAAAGCCTCTCTGAGGCTTGCTGAGAATTGAAACCCACTGGGTGAGCAAAAAGTCGCCTCAACAAAGGCACAGCAGGCTGCATCTGTTGAAGTGAGAAGACACATAAACAAGACTGAAAACCAGACTTCCAGATCACCTAAGGCAAACCCAAATGGCAAAGAGATAAAACATTCTGATACTCAGGCACTTGGACTCCCAGAACTGGCAACAAAAGAGGATCTGGAAAAAATGAATTCAGAAATACTTTCTCAGATAACAGCAGAGATTGTAACTCTAGAGCAGACACAGATGAAAAAATAGAGGAGCTGAGGAACATGATGGAATTCCAGTATAGGAAACAAATGCAATTCATAAAACAGATGCAAACAGATATCCAGGAGATTAAAACTCCATTGAAAGTTTACGCAGCAGAATGAGCCAATGTGAGGACAGAACATCAGACACAGAAGACAGGATTGCAATTAGTGACCAGGAAAAGAAAAAAATTCTTAAAAATAGTAAGGAACCACAAGAAATCAATCTGTCAGCTGCTTGATGATACAAAGAAAAATAACATAAGACTGATAGGAGTCAATGAAGATGCGAGAGTGCAAACGACATAAAAAAAACTGTTCACAGAAGTAATGGCAGAAGAGCAGGGGAAAAGAATTTGACATACAGATAAGTGAAGCATATAGGACTCCAACTAGCCTCGATCAAACTACACCTAGGCATATAATAGTTAAGATTCCATTTTGAGCCACATAACTGGCAAGGGGAGCTGTCCTGTGCATTCTAAGCATCTCTTGCTTCTACCCACTATATATCTATAGCACCCTTTCCCTCCCACACACACAGCAGTTGTGACAACCAAACATGCCTCCAGTCACTGCCATTGCCACATATCTCAGGGGCTCCAAAGGGAGCGATTCCCAGGCTGAGAACCACTGGTCTATGTTGAGAAAGCAACTGTATCCACTACATCACTGCCTTTGAGGCAGCACTGAACCCTGCAGCCTATGGCCCTGGGTTGGAGCCTAAGCCTGAAACCAAGCTGCAGCTTCTGAGTCTCCATACTGTGACTCACAGGAGGAAAAGCTCCAATGCCAGATAGAAAACAGCTGCTTTTTAAACAGGACACAAAACCCAAATTAAAATTAAACTTTTTTAAATTAAAGAAAAGCATTTTTATGCAGCAGGATGGGAGAAGATGCTGGCACATTTATCCACCTGTTTATCAAGTGTTTGCTAAGCAGGACCTCTGAGATAGGTGTCCTAATAGGTTCTGGGGCAATGCAAAGGCAGACAGGGGTCCTGAATTTAAGGAACAACCCTTGAGGGATGCAGTGGGGTGTTGCAGTCATAGTGAGAGTAGTTTAGGTCATCTACCCACTTCTGAATCAATCACTGCCACTAGGGCCATGGAAAATGCCTATGAGCTTAGCCTAAGTCACTTGCTCCAACCATGGCACCAGATTCCATAGAAATCACATAGATTTCCTAAAGGAGACCAGGTTTCCAGGAGGGAAAGAGAGCTGCAAATGCTGAGTGAATGGGGAGGGTGTGGCAAGCTGGAGCCCTCTCATGCTTTTTGCCTCTTTTCATACAAGCTCTGCTAGGTGACTTCATCCAGTCCCAAAGCCCCTGTACCATTTCTTTTCATCTCTTTCAAAGTCTTATTACAGGTATCTGTGCTTCATACCTGCTGCTTCTCCTCTGAGATTTCATTCAGTCCACCTTTACAGTGATCCATTCTCTTCTTCCAAAGCTCAGTTCAGAGTCAGACCTCTGGGACTATTCCCACCTCCCCAGACTTCCAGACTTCCTTCCTTCTTTCCTCCCTTTCCTCCTTCTCCCTTAGCCCTGTTTACCTGTACCTCATACCCGCTGAGCCTCCACAGTTCTGTTTCTCCTGCTGTAGATCAACACCTCAACATTCTTTCTCTTTAATGCCAAACAAAGGAATTGAGAACTTTCCATGGTAATTTCTTGGGTGCTCCCAAATTTCAAAAACAAGATGGGTAAACTGTGTATAAAGGAGGGTACAGGAGGCAGCCTGAAGTTGTGTCAAGAGCACAGGAGGGCTGGGGATTTAGCTCAGTGGCACCGGGCCTGCCTCGCAAGTGCAAGGTCCTGAGTTCTATCCCCAGTATTGAGAAAAAAACCCAAAAAAACAAGAGCACAGGATCTAGTCAGACAGCCCTGGACTTGAATCTACCCTTTGTACCCTTTCAGACATGAGATTTGTCTAAGGGATTCCTACTCGTCCCTATTAAAATGTATGTGATGTGTTATACATTCATTCTTTCTATGACTTTTGCTTGTGAGTAGGCTGCCACATCTATGTTATTCACTAATGTAGAGCACAGTTAATGAATAGTACACTTAATAAACACCAGAGCTGAGGTTCCCACATGATGGTGACTTTGACTAGAAGAGACCAAAGACATGTTATTCCAAGGACAAAGAGAAGCCCTTCAGGCTTTGAACAGACTTTTTCTCTTGCGGCTGCATGTGGAGGGGAGGTGGGTAGGCTACCCTGTGTACCTGCCTCCTTGCCTGATCACACCTTCCAAGGCACTACCACGATGCCACAGCTCAGTGGGGGCCCCTGTGTTTGCATCAGGTCTGCATACAGCAGACTTTCATTTTTTTAGCATAATGCATTTAAACATATTTAATGAATTTGAAATAAGTTTAATGCATGAAAGTGGAAGATGGTACGGACTTGGAAAGATACCCAAAATTAAATTTTAATTTTAAAACATTACTGCATTGGCAAAAATTTCCCCTTAAAAGATTCTTCTATAAGTTACATTTTCCCTGACATGAAATGTGTCCGTGCATATGTTCTGTCCCAGCATATTCACCCTCGTGAGCTTCTTGGTTTAAGCCTTAGCTCATCCACTTACCAACTGGATGGGTTAGCCTTTCTGAACCTCACTTTCTTCATTTGTAAGATGGGACTAATTCTCTATAATGAGGCAGTCTCGTTCTGTTGTTTATTCAGTGCATCTTACTACACCAGCCCAGCTACTTTTTAAGTTTTTTATTATAAATGTACCTACCCAGACTTGCTGGAAAGCCAGCCCACCTTCCTTTGGAGATCAGGACTAATACTCCTGGCATCCCACCCTGGGCTTCAGGGGTAAGGCCGTTCCGGATGGTTCTTCCCCTGGTGTTATTTCAGGGTATCATTTTGGAAAGCTCAATATAAGCATTTGTTGTTTTAAAAATTTAGGACTGAACCTCAAGCCTGTTTTTTGTAGTACTGTCCTTGTAATAGGACACAAATTTTCAGGAGGGCATGAGGGTTTTCTAAGAACTGGAAATTCTGTAACTGATTTTCTGAAAATGCATAATCCATGACCAGACCAGAATATACTGAGAAAATAATTTGTTTAATTATAAATCAGAAATTTTATTTAAAAGCTATTAACAAAATCTTGAATTTGTCCATTGAGGATTTAAATTTAAATGAATTTTTTAAAAATCAAGAAACTCCTTCAAAATTAGTTTAGCCCCTTTCTTCAAACTTTCAGGATAGGTCATTTTTTTGGTTCAGGACTTCAACTTTTAAACTATGCCTACTCTAGCCTGGGTCCAACACAACTCGAATAATAGGAAAGCATGAATCCTAGCTGATGTCAGAATTTTTGTTTTTTGTTGGATATGTGGGGCTCTTTTGGGTGGTGGTGGGGACCTCCAGCTGAAGAATAGAAGGTACAGTGAGATGGTGGAGAATATGTAGGTTTCATTTTATCCAAGAAGCCCTTTGCACGGCACATCAAACCAGGTCAGTGGCTCTTTAAATAAAGTGCTTAAAAATGGCAATAAATGACCTAAACTGGAACACAAGCAAAATATAAATATATGTGCATATGTAACTATTGCCTCCTAACTTGCTTTATGTTGATTTAATTTCTAATCCGCAGGATGTCACCGCTTCTCTTAGGGAAGGGAACTGAGTATTCAGCTATTCAGTCATGATGAGTGGGTTTCCTGTTGCTATCCCCTCATGTCTGTTATAAAATTCATCAGCCACTTTTTCAAACACATCTGGTTGTTACTCTTCCGTAGTGCAGATGGAGCAGGGGAAAACCGGAGGTCACTTGCCAGGAGGGCTTTTTCTCCAGTCCACTCCTTGATGTCAGCCCTCCAGGATGGGACACAATGGGCTGAGGGACCTTGCAGTTTAGAACAGTGTGTGGGACCAGCTAACGAGAAGTCCAGGTCCATCTTGGCAGGCCTGCTCAGGGCCCTCTGGGCCTTCCCCTTCTCTGACACCATCCACTTCTCGAGAAGGTGCTGAAGACACATATCTGCTGGGCTAAACATGAGGTGGGCAAAACGAGAGGCTCCATCCATCCACTTCCTGCTGGTAGCCATGGGGTTGAGGGGGCTGGAGACTCCCACACTGTCTCCCATTCAGCGCCTGCAACCACAGTGTAATTTAAACACCAATCTCATGTCCGTGTCCCCCAGAGAGGCACAGCCCTACAGTGGTTAGCCCCTCTTTCCACTCACTTTGCTATTTCATCGGAGCGCTTGTTTTCATTTCGAGCTGAGCATCTTCTGGCCTGCTCAGGCTCCCTGGGTCTGGGCATCTCCACCAATCTTTTCCACAGAAGCCAAACAATATCCAGATGAGAAGAGGCAACAGACTACAAATAGCCTGAGGCAATCAGCTTGAAGGCTTTTGAGGATTTCCAAAGTAGAAGGCTTCCTGCTGGTAGAGCTTTCCTGCCCTTTAGCAATGGCTTTAGACCCTTCAAAACCAGAAAGACACTGAAATCAAGGGGACAATACCCCTTACTGCAGTATCTTGTTGCCAAACAAGATTTCCCTTAGCACCCTGTTATCCAATACCTTATCTGACAGGCAGAATGTTCTGGCTTTTTCTTTGCCTATGGCAAATTCTTTTTGGTTCAGTTAATAGTATTTCCCCCAAACCCAGAATACATAAGAACATGCTGGGAACTTATATCTGATTACCATAGATTCATTCTTCTGTATTTCAAGGATCAAAGTTACAAGGAGGAATAATACCCATCTGCCATGTTGGTGATTTGTTAGTATTTTTTCAACATTAAAATGACTTTTCTGACGAATCAGCCAGAATAATACTCTTGCAAGTTCAGAAAACCTAGTGGCACAATTTTGAAGTCAGACATTATTCCTAACCAAATTATACTCTTTTGTCTGCCACGATAGTTTGACATTTCTGATCTCTGCAGGCAGGCCTATGTGATAATCCCAGCAGTATTCTGGTGATAAGATTTTAGTGGGTTTGTTGAGAAGGAAATACTTGTTCAGATGGCTTTCATCATGCCACTTAGCTTCTATGTTATTTTTCTTGTCCTGGAGGATTCCTTTAAAGCATTCCTGGGTAAGGTTGAGAACATGACTTGGTGTTCCTCCAAAAATGGCTGCGTGATAATAAAAATCCCCCTGTCCAAATGGAATGTATGCTGCTGACTCTTCCCGCCTCTCATAGGTAAACTCCCTGGGATCTGCCTTGTACCACCAGGCCTGTAGCTGAGCCACCAGCGGGCCCAGAGTCTCCAAACCAAAATTGTCTTGGAAGACCTGATCCACATCCATGCAGAAGAGGAAGTCGACCTCATGCTGGATGTGAGTCAAAATGTGCTCCCCAATGATCTTCATGCGCATCATACTGATGTCCTGCCACCTCTTCTCAGACTTGATCTCAAACACTTTGAAGGAACGCCGAGGTCCCAGCTCTATCAAAGGTATCCTGGAGACATCATCCACCATTATGTAAAATATGACTTTGTGACCAGCCATGAAGTACTTGTTAGCAGACGTTATGAACTCCTCCAAGTAATGATCAATGTACCTAAAACAAAGAAGAAAGGAATACATTGAACCTTTGGATTCTTGCAGGAGACCATGTGCCACTATAATCAAACTGTAATTTACCTTTAGGAAGGGAACCATTTCCTCCCATCCTGATGTGTTTTTTCATGTGGCAGGACATCTATTAGTGTAACACTCCTGATGGCTCTCCACTATTCAGTCACTCGGTCCTTGGGAAAGTGGAATGACTTCTCTGCCAATTTTGGAAGAACAGCTGGGCAGCACAGCCCTGTCCCCTCTCTTGGAAGATGGCCAGTGAGAGAGCATGTACTCTCATCTGCTCTGCCTTGCAGTAAGCTTAGTGGTACAGCTTCTATTCCCACATCCAGAGGCCTCTAGTTTGTAATGCTGTATATGTCAGGGTCCCTAAGTCTTTCTGTGATTCAATACTTAGGAAGTCCAGGGCCTGCTGACAAGAGCCACATTGCTCAGTACCAGCTTTAATTGGAATGAAGGTGATATTTACCATCATCTGCTTTCCTTACCCCTTTCTCCAGTTTATCAATTGATTCAGACTTTGGGCAGTCAGAAGGGATGCTAGTTCTTGAGCTTCCCTCAAAAACTGTAACCTATATCACAGTGTTGTACTGCCAAACCAATTGCAAAGGTGGTGTGACTCTTGTGTTGACTGGGGATTCATAATCTCTATCACTGCACTGTCGTATCTGCCTCTGTGTTTGGTTAAGCCCATTCTCTTCTCTGACACAAGGAACAGGGTGTGGGCCTGGGTCTCTTTCCATGTTTCACAGTCATCCTGTGAGCCTCCCACTGGTGACTCAAAATACCAATCCATCATCCAGACACCACTATTACAAAACCCATCCAAATACCAGAGCAAGCAACCTCTCATTTCACCTTGTTTTATCTTAAAAAAAGAGACTTTATTTCTTAGGGCAAATTTCAATTCACAGCAAAACTGAGCTGAAAGTTCTCATATCCTTCCTGCTTGTGTATACATACAGCCTTCCCCACTACCAACTCCCTGCCCCAGCTTGGTAGGTTTCTTACAATCAACAAGCATACATTGATAGGGCACTGTCACCTAAAGTCCATGATTTACATTAGGGTCCACTTGTGGTGTTGTGTACTTTATGGGTTTTGGAAAATGTTCAATGATATATATCTACCATTATAGTACCATTCAGAATAGTTTCACACTAAAAATCCTCTTATCCCCCCACATCCACAGCCAGTGATCTTTTTTACTGCTTCCATAGTTTTGCCTTTTCCAAAATGTCAGAGTTAGAAGCATATGGTATGTAGCCATTTCCGATTGGCTTCTGTCCCTGAGTAACACGCATTTCAGATTCCTCCATGTCTTTTCATGGCTTGATAGTTAATGGTGTATTTTTTGGTACTGGGGATTGAACTCAGGACCTTGTGCTTGTGAGGCAGGTGGTGGAACCACTGAATAATATCCTATTAATCTGTATGTAGCAGTTTATTTTCCCATTCACCTATCTAAGGATAACTTGTTTGCTTACAAGTTCTGGCAATATATATAAAACTTCTAAAAATTTAAGTGGAGATATTTTCATCTTATTTGGGTAAATACCAAGAAGTGTGACTGCTAGATTGTATGGTAAGTGTATGCTTAGTTAGAAACTGTCAAACTTTCTTCCAAAAATGGCTATCCTGCTTCCCAGAAGCAATAAATGAGAGTTCCCGTTTCTCTACATTCTTGTCAACACTTGGTATTATCAGTGGGTTTTTTTTTTTTCTAATAGGCACATAGCGGTATTTTAATTATTTATCTATTCATTCAAATAACATTATATTGATGTTGTCTGTGAGCTCAGGCTACAGACTGTCTTATGAAGCCATGCTATGATGATCATAGCAGAAAGGACAGTTAGATAGCTTAATACAACTCATCCAAACCTCAAACTCATGCACGGTGAATGTGGACCAGATTTAACTTTCTGACCACAATACCAGCCAATCATGATTTCTGGAAGTAACTGTGTCTGGGACTTTTTTTTTTGCTTTCTCTTGCTGTGCGATTTCCTGTCTTTGCCATCAAAACGAGCTGTACTTTTATTGTTGGCATCTGAAAACCCAAGGGTTTACAGTACTGATTCTGTAAGTGAAGAGCAGTACAAAGAGGGACTTTAACATGGCTCTGTGGCTAGTGGCCAGGGCATTCTTCTATATTCTGGAACTTTAAGAAAAATCAAGTGTCCCCAAAGCATGGGAAACAGTATTGGGTTGAGCAGGGGAGAGTCACTGAGATTTAACATTGTTTAGCGACTAAAGCATTGCGGTTGGCTTTGTGCATTGTTATTGGAAAACAAACCAAACATCACACCTCCTAATGGTCCAAATCTACTTGTTGTAGGATGGTATTGCTGCTGAGTACAAAGCCACCCTCTCTTGCCACACAGCTGACTGACAGCACTGTTGCCAGGATGTGCAGTTTACAGTTCTGTTCTGCAGAGCTGCAACTGGACAGCTGAAGATTCTGTGGGACAGTGGGCAATATTTTGTTCTTTGCAGAAACACGAGGATCAAATCAATGTGCAGTGTAGCTGGCTTTCCCTTTTGTTCTGAAGGACTGGATGAGTTGAGCACTGGCTCCTGTTCCATAATGCTACAGATTCTTCTAGTAAAAAAAAGTCAAAATTCCACAGTCACTTTCCCTATTAAAGACATGTGGGGTTCTGAAGCACAGTCAGCAGCATTAGAACTTGATTCGTATTGTTAAGGACTGCGACAGCAACGGCTGCTGGGCCCTAGGCTGGGGAAAGTTGTCGTTGGGGAGCCACCAGATTTTCAAAGCTCTCTTTTACTCTATGTCATGCTTAAGCTCAGATCAGCCTGAGCCCTCAACTTGCTACAAAACAGTGGAATCAACTTTCCATGCAGCTTTTTCAGAAGAGGTTCAGATGGAAAGGCCCAAAGGGCAGAAAAACATAGGAAAATTGTATTTTCCGTTTTACTTTGGAAAAAAAAATTGTTTTTATTCTCCAAGAAAGTAAAATAGGTCATATTTTAAAACTAGTATTAAAGCTTCAACTTTCAAGTGAGATTTACAGCAATTTTTTCTGCATCAAATGTTCTGAACCAGGGAATGGAAGCTGGGACTAGAATTTATCCAGCCTCTGAAAAAGGACATTCCGACCAGCCCTGTTCCCCAGGGCCAAATCTTCCAGAAGGATCAGGGGGAAGCAACCCAAGGAAGCCAGGGAAGAGTGGTCAGCCATGGTCCTACAAGGTAAACCATTCTGTACTTGGGACTTGCTGTACATTCCTCGGCCCTTGTCCTGGGCCCTTAGAGTGTAGGAAAAGAATGATGCACATTTGGGTAGTCTACAGCTGCTATTTTGGGAGTTCCCAAAGGAAGCCATGGAAGTCAGGGAGGACTTGGTTGGTAGTGCTGTTGACTCTGGGCTTGGTGGCCATTAGAAATACTTTTGCTTGTAACCCAATACCTAATCCTTTGAAGTGGTAACAGAAGGACTCACCTACTATTGTTTTGTTCTCAGCCTTTTGGTGCCTTGGCAGAAAGGAGGCTGAAACAGTCCTGCTTGAACATTCTCCTGTCTAACAGTTCAGATGAGTCATCAGTAATCTCTATGAAGCCAAGGGTCCCCACGCAAGCGTTTGACAGTAGAACAAAAACATTCAAAGAATTTTGTCAGTGACACCCACCTTCCAGTAGCAAAGACCGTCAACCCCACAGTGATTTTATGTTTGTCGTAGTAACTTTCTAGGACGGCTGTGTTGTAGGTGTCTTCCCATACAACTGGCGCCTGCCATCCAGTCACCGTCACAACCTCCGGCCGTTTCCTGACGGTAAATACACAACCCCATGAGTCAGGATATCTCTGTGTAGGCGGGGCAGAGACTGTCCAAGAAAAAATGGATCAGCAGTGATCTGCATGAGTATTCTTCAATCCTGACCGTAACTTAACCCCATACACACGAACAAGAGGTGTGAGCTCTGGCAGGGCAGCGTTTGGCCCAGGTTGAGGCTGTCCCAGGGGCCTCATGGACTTTTACATACATATTTCATACCTTCTCTCCTCATTTCCTGCTTTCTTTGTTCTCCTACTTCTAAATCCTTTTCCCTTTCTCCCTACCCCCCAAGCTGCCAGTGATATCTTTGGGTGGTTGTTTATCCCTGTGTGTGTCATCCGAGCCTGAGAAAGTCCTAATCCTTGACTTACAGGAACAGAGAATGACGTTAGAACTGTGAGAGAAAAAGCTGTTTCAATTTGCCTTTGGCCAGAAAGAGATTTCTGGGTATTAGACCACGTTGTCTCTTTACTAGGAACATAATGGGAACGAGAGAGGGGTAGGTTTTCTGCACTCAGAAAGCTTCAAAAGGACTTGGCAAAGCCAGCAAAAACACAGGAAGCAGCATAAGAGCAGTGACAAAGCATGAAACTGCAGGATAAACGCAGAAAGGACAGAGTGGCAGTGGGGCCCTGCGGGGTGGAGCAGGAAGGGTGGTGGAGACTCAGTTCGCATTCCCGTCACTCAGGAAGCAGCTGAGACTCCTTCTTGGGAAGCGTGGAGTGGTACACAGTTAGATTCCAATTCTAGTATGGGCTTGTCCCCGGCCTGGAACTTGCTGGGGCAGCATTTTTGTCAACCCCAAGAAGGCAACTGATTGAAACAAATCCTGATGGTCTCAGCTGGTTGTGTTCACATGGCCCTGCTGAGGGGCTTGGGAGAGGTCAGAGGATGTCCCCAGCTTCTTATATAACCAGTGGATTTTTCACACAACTGAGTCTTCCCATCAGCATAGCAGCATTCCCCCACAGTGAGGCTGATGGCCAAGGCTGGGTCATCCCCTACTGCCCATCCTCAGGGGGGAAAAGGGGCCTCGGAACTCTTCCTCCTGCCTCCAGTGCCTGTCCCATAGCTCTGCACTCTTAACTCTTGCGCTCACTCTTCCCTCCCTCCCATCTCTGTCTGGCGTGTGCCTCTGTCTGGCTTCAAGTTCCCCAGCACAGCTGGAATTACCTCCCACTTGGGTCAGAATGGCAGAGATGCTGGAGTGGGGAATGACTTAGAGGCAGCTCTCTTTGCCTTGCCTGGAGTCTTCAAGTCTGAAACCCAACTCTGGCCCCAGAACCCTAGATGTGCTCACTGCATGGAGGGCAAAGCTACTCTCGCTTCTGTCAATCATGGCAGAAGCAGCTGTGTGGCACCAATCAGAGGCAGCCTCCATCACATACATTTTCTCCTTTATTGCCACAGTCCTACAATGTATTGTGTGCATTGTACAGGAAGAAAACCAAGGCTTAGAGAAGCTTATTAACTTATCTGAGGCCACATAGCTGGTTGCTGATGATGGCAACTACCATACACTGAGCACTTCCTGTGAGGCCAGGTATTACGTGAAGAGTACAGTAATTTGAACTCTCATTTTACCAGTGAAGAAACCACCACAGAGAGGTCCAGTAACTTGCCCGAGGTCACATAGCTAACAGGGAAAGCTGAGATTTGAACCGAGATACTTTGACTCTGGAGTCCAGTGCTCTGAGCCACCACTCCACATTGCTCTTTATATGGACATTTACTTGCTCTGTGGATCAGGTTTGTTCTGATCTAAAAAGTGCTAGGATTTCCAGTCTGCTGCTTCAGCATTGTCTTCAGTGCAGATGGAGATGTGATGAGCCACTGTGCTGGTGACTTATATGACCCAGCCTGGCCTTCAACCTTGCTGCTGGAAAACTCTGCTTTGCTGAGGGGCTGGCACAGCCCTCCACTGGCTATGTGAGGGTGGGGACATTCTTTTTTTTCTTTAATTTTTAAAAGATTTGTATTAGTAGGTGTTTACAATACATAGTGATTACACTTTGGTACATGTACACAGCACATCTTAATTCTTTTTTCATCCCCTTCTGGGGGACATTCTTGTTACCCTTCTTCTGAAAACCTTGGCAGGGCCCCATGAGCATAGCCAACCAGAGCCATCAAGACTTTGTCCTCATGGTGCTTTAGTCCTGTTAACCCCCCAGCTCTGTTTGAATGACAAGATTTCAAACCAACCCAAAGAAAGAAAAGGAAGAAAAAGAAAGACAGAAAGAAAAGATAAACACACAGCCTAGCCATATAACCAATGTTTCTGAACCTAAACTGTCCCTGTATGGTCACTTCCTTCATTGCAGTGTTGGGTAAGTACCTTATTAGTTCTAAGCCAGCCCTCTTGCTAAGTCTTGTTGTGTATGACCTACGCATTTGGTAAGGAATAATATTACTTTTTTAAAACGGGGGTAGACACTTATTCAGTACTTACTGTACATCAGGGGGTAAGCACTAGTCTTTCATTCCTCCACTCAGTCTCCACAGCCACCTTATGAAGTGGGTGCTGTCATTGCCCCTGCTCTATAAATAAAGCGAGGTTCTGAGCTTTTCGCTGTTGAATTTATATGAAGGGCAAATGTGGGGCTAACCAGTGGTCCTCTCTGTGAGAACCTTGAAGTCCCAAAGGGTGCACAGCCTGCTACCCACTTCTCAGCTGCAGGACCTCTCAGTCCACTTCTTCTAGAAAGCCCCAGTGAGAAAACCAGTGTCCACTTTAATTACTTGGATTGGAAGGATTCCTTCAAGCAGGAAGAAAAAGTAGCAATAGTAAACATTAATATTTAATTAAAATTAAAATGTTCTACTTCCCAGCTGTTAATTATTCAAGTCCACTGACAATTCCAGCATGTCAGAGACCCTGCCTAAGAAGTCAGACAAGAGCCTAGAATGCTGGTGGAGGGGAGGAAGGGAGGGATGAAGAGTGAGCTGGAAGTTGGCTTCCTGGATGGACCTCTGCATCAGCAAGAGGCCAAAGAGAGGGGACCAAAGGCAGCCCACCCATGTGCAAAAGCTCATCCTTGGCAATGCCCAAGATTGCAAAGATGGGGTTCTAAAACGAGGGAAAAGTAATAGGCAAGAGGTCCTCAAAGGCCTTCCTCCCTAACGGGGGTCTCAGGCACATGACCTCAGTGTGTACAGTTCTACTGCTGTGGGTCAAAAGCTTCCAGAAAAATAACAGGGCTTCTGTGACCAAAGCACATATGCCTCTACGTTATAGGTAGCTTTATAATTTTATGTCTTTATGGGTATATTTTTGTACTCAAAGGTTAGTTAGAGGAAGTATTAAACTTCTATAAATCACATAGTAGGTTTTAAAAAACTGATGTGAAATGCCTATCACTCCTCAGGCAGCAGGCTTGACAGCAACCCAGCAAAAAGCTGATGGCAACATGAACAGAGATGGGGGCTGCAGAGTAGAGAGAAGGGCAGGATGTGAGAAGGACTTGGGAACAAGAACTGGCAGAATGTGCTCGTGAGTTAGGCTGTGGGGTAAAGAAAAGGTTTTCCAGACTCTCCTGGGCTTGAGCTACTTACTGAGATGGGAAATGGGAAGAACAAGGGAGGGGTGGAATTGGGAAATCCACATGGGTCATGTGACACATGCAGAAATGGCAGGCGGGCAGGCAGGTACAAGTCAGGGCTCAGAGGAAGTATCTGGGCTAAAGACAAATGTGGGAGTCATTCTCTCACAGGTGGCATCTGCTGCCATGGAAATGGATGGGAGCTGGCTGGAAAGTGGTATAGAAAAAAGGACAGAGGATGCCACACTTGGCCCCCAGAAACTCTGATACCTGATGCCTGGGAGGAAGGAGATGCTGCTGTCAAGGAGACCGGGAAAGGAGGGTGGCGGCTGAACGAGGAGGTGGTGTCATGGAAGCTGAGAGATTTCAATGTGGAAATAGGTGCACAATATACTGTCATATGCCTGATATTTACAGAGAAGGATACTTCAATATAAAATATATTTGTTTATTCTTTCATCCAGTCATTCATTTATGCAAGAAGTAAATTTGGGTGCCCTGAGAAGGCTTTAATTTGGATACCTGCTTGCCATTCATTTGGAGGTGAAGCTAGTCAGGCATGAGGGAGACTGGAGAGAGGGACAGCTTGTGACCACGATTTGTCTCTCCTCTCTGTTCCACCCAAGGCCCCACCTCCCAAGTTCCGGTCAGCAGAGAACTGGTGCCATAGTAAACCTGCCCCACTCTCCTTAGAAGGGCACTTGGTAACCAGTTCTGGCTCACCTAGCCTGCCTGCCCCTTGGGAGTCTCATCCTCCCAATCTAAGGGTTTATCGAGTGACATGCTTTTATCTTCCTACATTTCTAGCAGTGGTTAGCATTTCGTACATGGCTAGGCTGTTGTCCAGCTCACTGGAAGACACAGAGGTCTAAATTCTCACCCTTCCACTGGCACAGATCTCCCCCAAAACAATAAGTGAACTCGCCAGATTATTTCCAATCTTTTCAGACCTCAAGATCCACCACACAGTTACACACGACTCTCTCCTGACCCTTCTCCTATCTCTACAGTGGTTCCTGCTCCTCCTGAGTGTTTTCTTCCTCCACCAGCTCCTTAAATGCTGATGTCAAGACAGCCTCTCCCCGGGTGGCCTCGTTCAGGCCCACAGCATATGACCCCACTGCCACCTATGTTCTGAGGACACCTCTTCCCACCTCTCCAGCTCCTTCTTTCTGCCAAGCTCATGGGTAGCCTGGGACTCTCCAGATGCCCATAAGCAGCTGAATCCATGCACATTGTTCGTGGAGCTCATCGTCTCCTCTACCCCACACCTGTGTTTCCTCTCTCAAGTCCCTTTCCTGGCCAATGACACCAGCAGTCTCCCAAGCCTCACAGTCTCCCTGGACAGTCCCCAGACCGCATCCCTTGAATCAGGTGATCATACCTCCTTACCAGTCTTGGCAAACACTAATTTCACATCTGCTGCCCCTATGAGATAATGAACTACGACAATTCTTCCTCTTTCTCCTTCTCCCCTTTCTCTTTCTCCTTTTCTTGTGTTGGGGATTAAATCCAGGCTTTCATGCATGCTAAGCACATGCTCTACCACTGAGCTGGATGCCCCCCAGCCCCAGGACCATAAACTTCGTAAATATAACCGTATTAACTAATTTTTCCTATTTCCTGTGTTGAACGCAAGGCCCAGCACAGTTTTTAGCACATAACTCACAAGAAATACATTTTCTATCACAATCAAACACATGCACATACACATATATACAAAATGAAAATTCCACTGAATACTTATTCTTACTTTGTGTGATGCCCTTTGATAGTTTATTCTATGTCAACTTTTTAAAAAGGCTAGTATGACCCAACAAACTAGTTTCTGAACATACGAATGGGCAGTGACCAGAAATTTGGAAAACACCAACTAGCACATAATAAGTTTTGGCAAACACTTTCATACTTGCTTAATAAGTGAATTCATGACCTCATTAGATTTTTAAAGCATCATTCCCATTTTACAGACGAGTTATATGAATTTGAGAAAGAATTTTCTTACTTCTACTCCAGATCTTATGACTTTCCACCTTACCCTGTGGCCTTTAAAAACCCTTTCAGCCCAATATTTTGGGTTTCATCTGCTACCAATGACCAATTACCGTCAGAATTACTGTTTTGTTCCATCCACACGGTACAAAGAATTCAGATCTCAATTTCTTATCCAAAGTTCATTGTTAGAGGTCTAATATTTGCTAAGACTCTTTCTCCTCAGTCACAAAGACCCTTCTCCCATTCTAATTAGGAATATTCTCTGTTGTAGTCAAGAAGTCTGCACTGCCCCATCTCCTGCTGGGCTATGGATTTACTGCACTTAGAGCAATTCTTCTTTTCTTACGTTGGATCAAACCAGTCTGATAGCTTAAGCTCTTCTTTTGTCCCTTCTATGTTGACTTCTTCCTCTTGATAATTGTGGGTCCTAAATGCAAAGGGAAAGCAAGGCAGTTAAGGTGAGGAGGGGCATCTGTGGTGGCAGACAGCAGGGAAGTGTCTCATGGAACATGTCCTGAGGCACAGAGGGTGAGCATCAGAGCATGGGCTGGAGAAAGGCTCCCGATGCTGCGCATTTACTCATTAGGACATACTTTGAATGAAAAGGGCCGTACTCTCCTTTCTTACTGCCCATCCAAGGCAGCAATTTAATGACCCAGTAATCCTCAGACCATTTGAGGGAGACTTGTGAAAGCAGTCCTCCTAAGAACACTTCAGTTTATGATGTCTCTCCTGCAATTTAAATTTCAGCCCAAGCCTCATCCTTGTGTTAACTGGAAGGGGGAAAAAAACTCACTGTAAATGTCCTTCTCCCACCCATAAGGGTCTTCTCATATTATTTCAGTAAGCAAGAATGATGAGCACTGAGGTCATGAATGTGAAACCACTTTAACTGGATTCTCTGACAGCCCGGAGTGGATGCACAGACACTTAAAGCCTCCCATTGCCTTACCCATCCTCAAACCAGCTTGGAAACCACCAGCCCCTCTGACTGCTGTTGTTACCAACTTCTGGGTTTCTAGGAAATGAAAAAGAATATGAACATTTTTAGAAAATGAAGCATTCCCCAAATGGGGGGGGTTCCCCAAACTTTTTCTTAATGGCGGACATCACTATTTAAGAAGTTCATTTTAAGCTGGCAATTCATAAAACAGACAGAAGTGAAACCTTCTTGCCAAACGGGAGAAGACAGACTTGAAGGTCCCTCGGGCTCCCATCCCTTGAGCAGCCCCCAACACTCGGCTTATCCAAGGATCCCTAACAGGAAGAGGGGAGAAAAGGAGGGCAGGAGCGGCATTAATACATAAACCAAGTCCTGTGTGTCGGTGAGGATATTCTTCTCTCTCTAAATTTGGACTTCCTCCTCTCAGAAGTATAATTCATAATAATAACAACAAACCTACCACAAAGGTAATTTACTGTAACAAGTGGTAGCCTTAATGAAAAACCAGTGGGAATTTCCAAAAATTATCCTCCAAAGGTCAGCCAGAGAAAAATTCTACTTGTCCAAAGGTCAGCAGTGACAGTTTTCAGGAAACCTGGGGATGGCTGAACAAACAGTTCAGGAAACTATAATTAGAAGCCACCACAGCTATTCACTGGAGGAATTTTCCATATCAATGGGGGCCTTCTGGGAGAGAAAGAGGAGGAAGCCAGGGTATACAACACTCTTCAGTTGGACAGAGAAGGGGGCGGGTCATTTGCAAACAGGCATAATAATATTAAGAAGCCTTAATATTAATATTGTGAATCTCATCTACTTACAGGTAGGGTTTGAGATGGCTTATGCTACAAAGATACAATTGCAATAAACAAAGAAACAGCCAGCCATAGGCCATAGCTTTCCATTTTAAAACTACCATATTAAAATATTTGTCTTGAAAAAAAAAATAAGCAGAGAAACAACACAAGAATAAAAACAATAGAAGGCAACTGAAAACAAGCATTGACTGAGTCTGCCGGATATGGATTTTTGCCTGACCTTGGTCATCCCAAATAAAAACTTTATCTTTATCCATTTTACAGCTATAATACTGGGTGACTGTGGTTGAACAAAGTGCTAAGGTCCCCAGATTATGATAGCAGGGGGAAAGTTACACCAGATATGAAAGTGGGGCAAGTACAAACAAAAACAATAGTTTGCTCTGAGCTTCCTGGCAACCAAGGCAAAGAGGGAGAAATTCAAGTTCACATAGCTCTCATTTTCTTTCTTAAAAAGTAATACATTTTAAAAAAACACATACTAATTCTCCAAGAAACTTGAAATTTTTCCTGATTCTTATTCTCAGGGCAATTTCTTTCATGGTTCTTTAGACAACACATACAGGGCAGAATAATGGATAATATCTTCCCAGATTCATTTTTATCAGCAATACAGGACTGTTCCACAAACTGTGTCACTTACAGAGACCCTTGATAAGATACAAAAGCAAAACACAGGTCATGGCTCTAGAAAGACAAGTATAGGGGGCTGGAGGAGTACAGTTCACAGCCCCAGATTGGCAGGAACCTGGCCCCCTCCACGCTTTCCTCTAACTTTGGTCTGAGGCCCATCACTGGCTGCTGTGTGAAGAACAGAGTGTAGCAGGTAAGAGAGCACATTTGGGAGACATCGATAGACATCAGAGAATTCAAAGCACTTACTTTGAGGGGTATATCCACAAGAAAGAGCCTTCTGGGCTAAAAGCAAATAAGAAATAAAAACATAGCATGTTACTTTGAATTCTGAGAAAGGCACTTTTGAAACCATTATCACTGAGCTGGGCTAAGCTGAGAGTCTGGGTTTCCTGTGTGGGGTTAACTGAGAAATCCTGGGCCAGTGTCTTTCTAAGGACGCTGAGATCTGCCTGTATACAGGAGAGAGACTTTGAAGGCTGTGTAGAGGAGCCTGAGCCTTCAATTGGCCAACCTGAGTTACAACCAGCCCTCAGGAATGAACTGAATTTGTAAGCCAAGTGGTCCACTGTATTTTATTTTATTATAAGTACACATTTGCAGTACCTCCTGAATATATCCACCGTGGGTAGTTGGTACACGTATATGACGTATTTTATTTCTTTTTATGTCCCCCCATCTCTTAATCTCTTTCCCATTTGCCAGAGATCTATCTACTTACTTCCAATTGTCTGTCTGGACAAAAAAACACAAGCTGGAGGAAAGAAAGCCTCTTTAGCCAATGGGGCCGGGGAAACTGACTAATCTTGCAGAAGATTAAAGCTAGACCCATATCTGTCACCATGTATTAAACTAAAATCAAAATGTTCAGTCCTAAATGTTAAAACAGAAACACGTAATCTGCTGGAAGAGAAGGTAGGTAAAACTCTGAGAGTCATAGGTACAGCCAAGGGGTTTCTGAACAGAACCCCAGCTGCACAAGAAATAACATCAAGAAAGAACAAATGGGATTACTTCAAATTAAAAAGCTTTTCACAGCAAAAGAAACAACCAACAGAGTGAAGAGACAAGAATGGGCAAAAAGTTTTTACCAGCTACACTTCAGTCAGAGGACTAATATGTAGAAATATACAAAGGTTGTTTTTTTTTTAAAGAAGACAATCTGTCCTCCATTGTCCAGGATGGCTTCACTGAGGGACAGAGGTTTATCACAGATGTGGACAGACAGAGTAGGCAGCACTTCCTCCACTGCCTGGTGATGGAGAAGGACAGAGGGAAACACCATGGATGGTCTTGCTGTCCCTCATCCAGGATTTATCTTCCCCTGGAAACCAGAGCTTCATATGAAGAGCCTAAAGCCATATCCAGCTCAGGGTCTTCTACGAGCTCTTCTAGAGCTGTCGCCAAAGGCATCACTTTAACTAACAGAAGCTCTGAGACTGTCCTGACGCACCTGCAAGGCTGGACAGTGACTAGGACTTTTTTCATGGGTCACCTCTATTCAATCACTCAACAAATACTTGCTGGTGAAATAAATCGGACACACATGTGTAAATACCACATTGTTTCTCTGGTGTGAGAAACTGAAAGCATAAATGAGGGCCAAAATATATAATAGATATTGTGAAATAGGAACAAAATGTTCAAATGGGTAGAGGAACTAGGGAGGGGGGTGGGGGAAAGGAAGGAAAGGAAAGGAAAAAATGAGAAAAGAAGGAAAAAATGGAAACAAAGCTTTTGTAAATAAGGAGGGGAAGAGGGGTTGAAGGGAGAGAAGGGGAATGAGAAAAAAGTAAGAATCAAGATATGTCATGTACAGGTATAAATTCCCTATGATGAATGTGATCATTATGTATACCGAAAATGTACCAATAACAGATAAAGAGTAAGCATATCTGCCCTTGTTCCCCACCTTAAGGAGAAAGCATTGTATCTTCTCCATTCATATAAAGGAGTCTCACTGGAAGTATGGAGTACATGTCTTTAATCTGTTGAGAAGGTTCTGTTTCACTTCTAGTCTCCTGATAGCTTTTACCATGAACAGCTGTAGAATTTAGTCCAATACTTTTTCTCCAACTAGTGACAGGATCATATGGCTTTTGCCTTTCCTCTGTTAAAATGATGACTTTTGGGGGTGGATCTTCCAATGCTGAACCAACACTGCCATCCCTATAACAAAACCACTTTCTACATTCTGCCAGATCTGACTTCTAATAGCTTGTTTTGTGAAACAAATTTCTATCTATGTTCATACTGTTTTCTTCTATTATCTTTATCCAGTTTTAGGATTAGCACAATGTTGAGTTCCTAAAATGAGGGGAGAAGCGTTCCTTCTTTTTTCTGCTTTGTTTGATATAATTTATCAGTTAAAATGTTTATGAGCCTGCTGTTGTCATATAGGTAGGTTTTCAAGCTAGGAATATACTTTCTTTAATAGGTGCTATTCAAATTTTATATTTCCTCCAGAGTTATTTTCATTAATTTGTCTTCCAAGGTACTTCTTAGAAGTTGTCAAATTTATTTCAAAAAAGACTTTTGTAATATGCTTTCTATATCCTCTTAAATTCTGTAAAATCTGTGGTAAGGTCTCCTAGATCTTAACATTGTAATTTAAAAAATGTATAACTGATATTGTGTAACAGGAAGAAAAGGTCTAAAAGAGCAGGGGAATTGTGAGGGGTAGGGGAAGGGAAAAAAGGGAAAGGAAAAATATGAGAAGAGGAAAAAAATGGAAACAAGGTCTTTGCAAATAGGGAAGGGTGGAGGGGGTGAAGGGAGGGCAAGGGAGGGGGAAAAAAATAAGGACCAAGATATTCATGTAATGGTACAAGATCCCAATGATGAATGTAACTGTATTTTATACCTAAAATGTACCAATAAAGTTAATGGGGGGGGGGAGAAAAGAAAATGTGCCAATAAACTTCGGTAATTAAAGAAAAACAAAAACAAAAAAACGAAAAACTTTTTTTTTTTGGTACCCGGGATTGAACTCGGGAACATGCGCTTGCAAGGCAGGAGCCAGAACCACTAAGCTAAATCCCCGGCCCGAAAAAAACCCACATACTTGCTAGACATGTGGCAAAGTGAGCCAAGTGCTCACTTGAGCCAAGACAATACAGTTCTCCTCCTTGTGGGGCATATAATGTAGTAGGGAAGGCAGACTTGATTCATATAACCACACAGCTACATGGCTTCACACGCCAGGAAGCACCACAGAGAAAAAGCACAAGCGTATAAGCACTTACCAGGAAGCCCTGGAAGGCTTCCCGGAGAGGCTGATGTTTCAGCTGAGTTCTGAAGGGTAAATAGTTGAGCAGGTAAAGAGAAAGTGGGACGAGTGTTCCAGACGGAAACCACGTGCAGAAGCCCTGAGGTAGGAAGAGAAATGAAAGCGAAAGAGCCTGCTCGGGATCTGGCCCGGAAAAGCTTCAAGCAGGGGAAAGACAGGGTCTCGGCGCAACTGGAAAAGGTCAGTGGAGAACAAGCTGCAGGGCGTGTAAGAGTAGATGTGGAGACAGCCAGGAGGTGACGGCTGCGGTCCAGGCAGCTAGGGATCAGGATGACAACTTACTAACTTGAGGGACCTTTGAGGTAAAGGCGGCAGGGCTTGGCACCCACTGGTTGAGTCCACTGTTCTGTGCAGAAACGCTCTGCCTGAGTTCTAAGCCTTACTTAGCCTGCTTCTCCTCCCAGTGAGTGAAAACGAGTAATAGTTGTTTCAGACTCTGCCAAAGCTCTAAAGTTCCTGGTTCCAAAATTAGTTTATTGATTCTGATGATACTCGAAACAGAATACTTAGCCAGGCACTGCTCTAGGCAATTTACATATATAAGTACATGAAAGCCTCTGATCAACAAAGTGAATTCTATTCTTATCCTCATTCTACAAATGTGGAAACTGAGGCATGGGGGCATTAAGTGATTTTCCCAAGGTCGTACTGCTAGTGAGGAAAGAACCCTCATTTGAATCTAGCTCCACATCCTGTAAAAAGGGGAGGGGGGAAGGGTGGAGAGGAGGGAGAAGGTCGGCTGCACCCCAGCACTCAGCACCCCGCCTGGCATTCAAGGCCTCACTTTGTAGTTTGGTGTTCACCAATTTGTTGCATCTCTTTAACGATCTCTCCTTCTTAGCTCCTATTGTTCCCTCCCAGAGTCTTGGCATCACAACGGTCACAGAAAAATCCACATTACAGTGGCATTTCAACATGTATTCATCCTTCACAGCACAACTCAAGTGCTACCCTTTCTACGTCTTCCTTGATATGACCCAGCACAGTGCCTGGCAAAGAGTAGATGCGCAATACATAGCTGTGAATGAATGCAAAAAATGAATCTTCCTCCAGGCCATATAATTTTGCCTTCTTGAACTCTCATAGCCCTCTTCTCTACCTCTGATACCCTTCATCTATTTTGCATCACTGGTTATTTATAGGCACATCTTATTGCCCCATCTAGATCCTAAGGCCCTGAGAGGAGGAATTTTACTTGGCTTTCATTGTATCCCTCAGGGCCTTCAGCACAGACAAGGGTCTCCAGAAGGAGTCTGGAACAAAGAATCAGGAGAGCAGAGTTCTAGTTAGAATACGGACATAAGTTCACTAATAAGTCACTTCACCTATTTGGCTTCAATTGTGTCCCTCAAAAACTGGTCACTCAGCTAACAGGAAAGTTTTGTAGTGGGTAAGAGAATGAGCTGCAGTCAGATAGCTGGAGCATAACTCTTCTTAAAATGGGATCTTGAACCTTAATGTTTAACATTTTGGAGACTGACGGTCCTCATCTCAGCACTTGGAATGGTACCCACTCTGCAGGCTATTGTAAGAATGTGAGGTAGTGCCCGGCATAGTTGCTGGCACAGGCAGACACTAACTGGCAGCTGCTATGGTCATAATCCCCATCCCCATCGCTGCCATTTCATTCTAACTTTTAGCTTCCTGCAGGTCTAAATTCTTAGATTTTTTTCAGCCATCCTTAAATCAAACACTGTCCTGGATGATATTCTTTCTTTCTTTTTTTGTTTTTTGGTGCCGGGGATCGAACTTGGGTCCTTGCGCTTGCACAGCAAGCGGCGAAACCACTGAGCTAAATCCCCGGCCCTGGATGATATTCTTTCAGTGTGCTTTATTGACATCAGAGCTTCGATTTACTAATTGGTGGATGTGTTTGATTTAGTTACTTTAAAATCTTTTTGAGCTTAATGCTGCCCAATCTTCTCAGTTCAGTGTCCTCAGCCCACCTCAGGCCATCACATGGCCAGTTCATAAGGTGGTAAAGGTCTTCTCCCTTTAAAGCCTTTTACAGATAACCAAGTGGACTCCGCAGATCAGAGAAGGAGGTGGCCAGAGTCCAGGTGCTGGACAGTGGCCCCCAGCAGCAGCCAGAACCTGCTCCAGTCACCTGCAGGCAGAGCGTGCCCAGCACCCTGAATAACCAACCCTCTTTCTGAGAGGCCAGCATGAGTACGATCAGTTGAGCCCTTGGCTCCCATATTTTAATGTTACAAACCACCCAAATTATGGAAGTACAACTTTGGCTGCAATTCAGAGCACTGAAGCTATCCAATCAGGCCATCAGATTCAGAATGTGGTAGTTATTCAAACAAGTATGCCAGCTCCAGGCAGGAATCCTAAAGGGCACTTGTTGTTCTATTGGGCTCTTTCAACTGCCAGAGTTCTTTTTATTTGCCAAAATTCCCTGTTTTGTTTTGCCCCTTGGAGAAAATGACAATAATGATGACTGTTACGGAGTGAATGTCTGTCTCCACGCCCCCCCCCCGCCCCGCCCCGCCAAGTTCACGTGCTCAAGCTCTGTCCCCAGTATGATGGTATTTGGAGGTGTGGCCTTTGGTAAGTAATTAGATTTAGATGAGGTTATAAGGACAACACCCCCATGATGAAACGGGTGTCCTTGTAAAAAGAGGAAAAGACTATGACTCACTTGTTCTCCATCATGTGTAGACACAGGGAGAATGTGGCCGTCTGCAAGCCAGGAAGAGGCCACTCACCTGGGAACTATGTCAGCCAGCACCTTGATCTTGGACTCCCCGGCCTCTAGAATTGTGAGGAATAAATCCCTGTTGTTAAAGCCACCAATTTAGAGTACCTTGGTATAGTGGCTTGAGCTAAGATGGTGATGGTGATGATGATGATGATGACAACAACGATGGCATCTTGCATTTATTGAGTGCCTATGAACTCCCATCTATTGCTCCAAGTGCTTTCTACACAATAACTTATCCTCTAATAACCCTATAAGGCAGGTACTATTATTATCCCCATTTTTAAAGGTAGAAAAACTGAAGGACAGAACGATCAAATAACTTGTCCAAGGTTACAGAGGAGGTACATGGTAGCAAAGGACCACCCCAGGCAGCCTTGCCCTACAGCCCAGCCAGGATACTTCCTCAACCCTCAAGCGCCTAAGGGAGCACCAGGGTCCCAACACCCAACTCTGAGTTCTTTCTTCTTTGAATCAATTTCCCCAATTCAAAAGACCTACTTTCCAGACCTTTTAACTTGGTTACACTGTAGTTTGTTATTTTTCTTAAAATTAGCTATTCAGAATGGAACACAAGTACATTCTAGAAGTGGTTAGATCTTCAAGACTAATTGCTTCTGTATTCTGGAGTTTTCCTCCTGCTACTGATGCACTTAAAGATGCAGTTCCTTTTTTGGTACCCAAGACAGTTCTGCCGGATCATCAAATCTTAAGAATTTGAGAACTGAGACATGGCATTCCCATATTAATCCAGGCCAACATCTTGAATTTGAGTGCCACCAAAATACCTCACTAAGCCCCACACAATGGTGCAGCCTGTAATCCCAGGTACTCAGGAGGCTAAAGCAAGGTTACACAAATTTGAGGTCAGCCTGGGAAATTCAGCAAGACCTGCCTCAAAATAAAATTTTAAACAAAGGAAGGCTGGAAATGTAGCTCAGCAGTGAAGCACTGGCCTAGCCCTGGGTTTAAACCTCAGTACCACAAAAATTAAAAAACAAAACAAAACACTTTACTATGGGAATATTAATGGTGCCAAGATAACTCTGTACAGTTCAGTTTACCACCGATGCTTTGAACCTGAAGGGTGAGCTTTACCAGTTTCGCTTAAGTTAAAGCACCATGCCTTTCCATAGCTGCTTGTGGAGACTTCAGTTAGAAGCCTCCCTGGCCAAAATCTCCAAGGCAGTGTAATTTTAAGCTCAGATGTAACTCATATATTTGAATGCACAGTGAAATTTGAAAACTCAGAACTTTTAATTCATTCTGTTTTCCAGAGGAAAGGAGACAGAGGAGAGAGAGAGAGAGAGGAAGAGAGAGAAAAGTGCGTGCTTTGGCCAGGCACAAATCAATCACCAGAAACTCACTGTATATTTCTGCAGCAAAAGTCAACTGGAATGGCTCTGTTAAACGCTATAAATATTTTAGGATTGCAAAATTCAGGGTGGATTTCTTAGGAATGCCTGTCTGAAATTTCTTAAAAGATAATTTCTATATGTGATCATACAAATTACTTAAGATTATACCTTGGGTTTAATTCAACCTCACTCTCTCTGGATCTAGCCCACCAGTAAAAAAAAATAAAGATAATAGGAACATAGTAGGAAAATCAGATAATTAATTAGCTGGAATTTACTTGTAAGTCTGGTGATTTTAAAGACAATCCAGAGCTCAGGAAGGGAGGAAGGGTGGAATCCCTTATTTATGGATTCATTTAATCTTCATTTTAATTCAGCTTGGTAACATGGCTGGTACTAGTAAGAGTGAAAGTGGTACATTCATCAATATTATTTCATCATGCTTCATAATTACCTGTTGATGTATTCCAAAAACACAACAATTGCAGTTGAAGCAACCAGCATTAACAGAATTACTTTTCCTTTGACATTCATTATTTTCTCCTGGGGGTGGGGGAGAAGGGAAAAATAGATTAAATAAATGAAATCCAGACAAGATTTGTTTTTTTTTTTGGTACCAGGGATCGAACCCAGTACCTTGTGCTTTCGAAGCAGGCACAGTGCCACTGAGCTAAATCCCCGGCCCAAGATTTGGTTTTTAAAAAATGCTTCTACCTGTGACTGGCTACTCAAGTTCACAGGCTTAGCCGGGAATTTAGCTCAGCTGTTCTGGTGCCTGCCTCGAAAGTGCAAGGACCCAAGTTCGATCCCCAGTACCAAAAAAAAAAAAAAAAAAAATTAGAAAAATTAAAAAAAAAAAAAGTTCATAGGCTTAGGTTCATTTGCTCACCGCACCATAAACCACTCTTGGTTAATAAAATGGTTCTGAGAGCATTTTGGAACAAGCCAATCCAAAAACTGGAAACTGATGCAGTCATGACCTAGAGACCACTAAAGAAATGGGAAACAGGCAGACCTGGTTCTTACCTGCTGCTCACCAAAAGCATTACTGTGTTCCTTGGCACAGTCAGGAACTTAAAAGCTATAAACCACAAGGTACTCTTAACCAATGTTTGGCAAAGTCAAATACTGTACCTTAGGATCCCTTCTGGTAATACTGGAAACAACCTTGACGCTAATTATTGCTCCATAACTTTTTTTTTTGGTACCAGGGATGGAACTCAGGACCTTGCGCTTGCAAGGCAGGTGGCAGCACCACTGAGCTAAATCCCTGGCCCCTGTAACATTTTAAAGAAGCTAAACAATTTAGACTTTTAAATAAAAGAATGTCCAGTCAGAGTTATATTAATATGTGGGTCACATTATCTCAATGTTTAACCAACTCTGACTCCCAAGAGTTTTTCAGATCCTGACAAACTCTAAATTTTTCAATTTTCTTTTTGCTCTTTAGTATTTTTCTAACCTTTCTAAAATGGAAAATTCTCTTTTGAAAGCTGAACACCTAAAAATATAATTCTGGTTTGCTAACACAGGCAAAATATGTGAAGAATTCTGAAGACACTTTTATTCTATCTTTTAAACATTTTCTGAAGTCACAGGGACTAACAGACATTTGGGTTTCTGCTTTCTTAATTACTGAGTACTCTTAATTTTAGACTAATCTGGTATCTAGACAACATACAAACACAAGTACACATGGAGACATTACATGTACATGCATGTCAACACACATAAAACAAGCTTTTTAACTTTTTAAAGCTTACGCTGTTGGCATAATTGTTCTTTTTACCATCTTAAGCAATATGTAACCCTAAATGTGCATGTCTGAAAGTAGGATTCTTGGTTGTAGCAAGGTAAGAAATATACATCTCAAAGGAGATTGCTCCCCCAATTAATCTGAATTTGAATTTCCTGAAGATTTTTCTTTTCCTGTTTCAACTTTTAAAGGTCTTAGTCAATTTAAAAGCTCCCAGGTTTTAAGACATTTTCCATTTGTGTTCAAATTTAGATTTAGCTTGTCAGAAGTTTACACATTTTATACTAACTCTATTGCTCAAAGCCTCTAGTAGGAAAAAATAAACAAGTTTAGGAACAATGCTTCCCACAAAGAAAACACAAAGGGAAGCCATCTGTAGTCAAATTTCTCCATTTTTTTAAAATTAAGGAATGGAGGTGGGAGGAGAAAGAAACCAATTTTCGGTTAACAAGTTTAGACAAACATTTTGAAACACACTGGTTTAGAATGAACCAAGGATGGTTAGCCAAAATAAGGGGAAATTTAAACCTCAATAAACCGACCAACGTTAGCCAAGTAGCCGCATGGGGAGTGGGTACAGAGGCTCTTGCTTGTACTTGTCACTAATACAGAAAAGGGCACGGAAGTAGGTATGCATCTCATCCTGGCCAAGATTACTCCAAACAATCTTCTTAAAGACAGTTCCATGAAATCAGAGTGTACTTTCAGTTGTATAGGCCATCCATGTTTTATCACAATAAAATCACCTTTTTCTAAGTAACAGGCAACTAAGAAACAAAAGCAAATGGAAGCATACCAAAGCAAATTAATACAAATGAGTACTCCAAATCAACCAAACAAATGCTGGAAATGTTTTCTACCTCTGAATCTCTTCTCACACCACTCAGTGCCCCAAAATGACTTGCAGTAGGTTTAATCAAATGGCCACAAATGGTGAAGGCACTTGCCTCACCCCAAATGGCACTGCCACATAACCTAAGAGAAGGTCCAAATGGCAGAGAGTCCATCCCTGTGTAACTTGCACTGCAAACGGAACTTTGAAAGTTAGATTTTTTTTTTCTTTTAGAGATAAGCAATTTCTTCAAACTTCCTCCTGCTGAGCACACAACCAACACCCCCTTTTCCCCTCAGCCCAAAAGAAGTGACAGAATATGCAGAGGCCACCATCCTCAGGAGGCTGGAGCCTGGTTTCCTTTCCACTAGAAAGAGGAGGATGAGCTGAAGATGGCTGGAAGTGATAAAGCAAGTGTGGAGGTCTGTATTATCTCTCTGTGCTCCCTCCCCTGTTCCTTATCATAAAAGACCCTTACCCACCTGTACACGTGGAGATGGTGATTTTAGAGAAATGGACCCTGTTACAGTTTGTCTTAGTTACTTTTCTCATTGCTGAGACAAAATACCTGACACCCAAAGATAAAAGGGAAAAGGCTTATTTGGCTTACAATTTGTAGAGGTTTCAGTCCATATTGGCTGGCTCCAAAGCAAGGTGGCAGAGGGGCAACAGCTCACGGTAGACAGACAGTAGCAAAGCAACAAGAGACCTTAACAGCGGTCTTTCTGCCCCTTTTATCTTATGCAGATTACTTAGGGCAGGTAGCACTCATACCCTTAATCCTAGTGCCCTTAAGCTGAGCACAGCACCATGAAACAATCTCACACTGTAGATTCAGCCACCTCAGAAAAACCCCCACCTACGAATGCATGAGGCTTTGGGGAGATATCTAGACCCAAGCGATAACACCGTTTATATCCAAATGACCCCCCCCCCCCGCAAAGCTCCATGCACTCACAGGTGGCTGGATCATGGGGGTGTCATGATTATTCCACTGATGAGCACGTAGCTAAATGTGATGTTGGGAGATGGAGCCTGAGCAGAGGAGGCGGTCACTGGGAGTGTGGCCTGGAGAGGGACATCTCCCTCTCTCCTCCCTTATTTCTCTCTGCTTCCTGCCTTCCAAGTCATGCCTGTTTTTCCTCTTCCATGCCCCTCTATCATGCTGCCCCACCTTGGAGCCAGCTGCCTGTGGACTGAAACCTCTACAAACCACGAGGCAAAATAAATCTTTCCTCCTTAGAGTTGTGGGTGTTGCGTATTGTGACTCAGCAGCATGAAAGTTGGTACCTGGACCACTCCATCTCCACTGAGCTAGATTTGAATAAATCCTTTTCTTCCTTTTTTACCAAAATATATGACTTTCTTTGATTTGGTCAGTGGCAAGCAAAAAACCCTAAGTATATGAACATAAGTGTCCAGCAACACCTGGAATACACTTTGCAGCAGGAAACCAGGCAGACCCTGCCAGCCTCCAAACAATCTTTTTCCATTTACCAATAAAAGCATGTAGGTGCACCCCTGTAATCCCAGCACTCGTGAGGAGGCTGAAGCAGGAGGATCACTCTGAGTTCAAGGTCAGCCTGAACTACACAGCGAGATTCTGTCTCAAAAAAGGGGTGGGGGGAGCATATATAGGCAGGTGATGCCATGAATAGGAAAGGAGGGAGATTCCAGCACAGAGAGACAATGCAGACCTCCACACTGGCTTTAGCACTTCTAGCCATCTTCAGCTCATCCTCCTCTTTCTAGTGTAAAGGAAGCCAGGCTCCTGGATATTCTGTTACTTCCTTTGAGTTGAGGAGAGGAAGGGGTGTTATGTGTTCAGTGGGAGAAAGTTTGGAAAAGTTGTTTATCTCTAAAAACATTCTAACTTGCAAAGTTCCATTTTGCAGTGCCAGTTCCATACCCATATCCGCTCTAAGAAGATAAATTTATGAATAATTAGGTAAAGCCGAGGACTGTGTTCTACCTTACATTCCGCAGGCCGGCAGTGGCAATTAATTAGGCCAATTTAATGAACCAGACAAGGCTGATTGTGCTGGGAAGGATGCTGGGTGGCTCTCAGCAGGAAAGTATCGGGATCTACCATAGATGAAAGACTGTGAGAGAGAGGCCATATATAAATGGCCCCCAGGGGCTCCATTATATCCCGATTCAGAGCACCTCCAACTTTTCCCACGTGACTTCAGGGAGCCGCTCTGTTCCCTGCCCTTGGCATATTGACTACATGCCCCTTACTCAGGCAAAAATGACCTGATCATTACAATCTAGCCCTCAGCAACTTCTGGCCCCACCCATACTCATAAGGAAGCAAACAACTGGAACACACAGGAACATAGATATTCTCGAACTCTTGTGTGAAATTATGATTGAAAGGGAAGGAAGACTGTATGGAGGATGATGGGCTGGGACGACTTCAACTTGGGTGGTCAGAGAAGGCTGGCTGCAGAAGGGACACAAAAGTACAGTCCCAAGAATGAAGAGGAGGTGCAAAAGGAGGCAAAGCACCACAAGAAGGGATGAGACTATTTCCGGAGCAGCATCTATAACAGGCTGATGAGCCAAAAATCTTCTTGTGCTTAAAAAATGAAAAAAAGTGCTGAGCAAGAAAAAAGTACTGAAGCTCTCTGGCCTCAGAATGGCTGCAAGAAGACAGCGGGTGCTAGTGGGTGATAAGATGGTGAGCAGGGATAGATGGAGCCTTGGAAGGCACAGAAGGGGGATGGGAACCCGCCAGAGCCCCTGTACGTGGAGGCTAACTGAGCCCAACTCCTCTGAGAGGGGCCGTCCTGCATGCCAGGGTATGCAGGATGGATGCCAGGGCACCAGCAGAAGTAAGGAGGCAGGTTGCACACTGTTCTAAGAGCCAAACAGAGTGGGTGGTGGCTATAGCGAATATTTACATTTTGTGGTGCATATATTATGATGTTTTGACATCTTGAAAAACGATTC